GGGGGGGGGGGGGGGGAGAAGAGAGACAGCAGGAGAGGATGCTGCTGCAAGAGGAGGTATCAAGTGTCACAGTCAAGAGCCAGATTAGCCTTTCCCCTGGCCCTGCAATCACTATCAAATTCAGGGCTTTGGATCCTCACTTGCCGCATGAAATGGCAGAAGTTCTGGGGCCAGTGAAAGGTTAATCTGACTTGGCAGTGACATCCCTCTCAGCAGTGTGCCGCCCCACCCCAGCCCCCGACCTCCCTTTTGGCAACCCAGGGTGCAAACTTATTATTACATATGCCCTGGAGAAGCGAAGCGGAGGGAAGGGTCAGAACTTAACTCATGACACCTGGCAAAAGGCCTGCCACCACTGTTTTAATCAATACAACTTACTCTGCAATACCACCAGAGGCTGCAACAGAATCTAAAAAAGGCTATTTCTCATCTCAATTATCTTAAAATGAAGAGTATGATCATAACTGATAAGAAAACATACAACTTTCCCTAGAAAAATTATCCTCAGTGAGAAAAGCAATTTGAACTAATAATGCTATCAGGTGGGGTAGGAAAAAGCCCCGATCTGTTTTTTTCGTATTGTATAGTTTACTAGAAGTGAGGCATTTTTTTCACCCTATAGAAACTAGTAATTAATCTAATAGTCATTACTAACATACGTGTATGCAGACAGAGGTAGTTAGCTATGTTACCCTGAAGTTAGACAAAAGGCAGGGCATTGTAGCACATTCAAGAGTAATTCAGTCAGTCACGAACATCCTTTGAATAAGTGACCATATTCCTTTCTATTTAATATTCCTGCTCTCTGCAAATATATTCAAGACATCTGATGAAAGTAGGCAGTAGCTTACGAAAGCTCATTCCTCCCTGACTGACTATAAAAGATGCTACACCTTCTGCCTAGTGTAAGTGAGAAGCTCAGTTTTAAAACTTTGTACCTTAATTACTGTAACAAGAAATCTTTTTTCATCTTCTTCATGCATTGCTCCACTGATTGAGCCTATAGCCCAACACAGAGTATTCAAATTTTTCCATGACCATTCTGTTCCATTGACTTGATTATGAAGTTTTTCTGTCATTATTCGCTCAGTATCAGCATAATCCAGATGTGTAAGATAAACTGAAAGAAATAATCAACATTGAGACATTTTAAGCAGACGTGCCAAACACAAATGCATAGCTCAACTCTGTTCATTCTGTTCTTAAAACAGAATCAACCTGGCCTAGAGCAGAAAACAGTTCAAAAACTGGTCCTGTAAGGAATTCAGTATCTGTATCAAGTCCCAGATGCTCTTAGCAAGACAATGCAAACATTCCAAGCAGTTATAAGTTGAACAAAGACTTGTACTGAGGCTATTTTACGTGTATTCTTTAGGCTGCTATTAAGCAGAAATGACAAAAGCTGAATCCAGGTATGAAAACAGAATCAATTCAAGACTTTGAGGGGGGTTTTTTATAGCAATAGTTTCTTTAACAAAAACTGCCCTAACACACCAGTAGCTCAACAGCTTAACTAGCTTATAAGCACTCCAATTTGGTCAATGCCTAAACTGCAGTTTAGTGCTGCAGGCTCAGGTGCCCATATGAGATTATCTACATTAGTATGTAGCTGAAACTGAGCATGTACATTTATAACTCTAGAAAAAACATACACTTCAGAGACACGTCTCAAAACCAAGCACTAAGGCACTGTACCAACCTTAAATCTGCCTGATATCAGAGTAGAAAATATGGAAGACATCAGATGTCTTTGCATTCAGTTTAATCCAATCACGGATCACAAAATATAGGATTATTAGTACAGCATTTTAGTAGTCACAGCATTTTGTTGCTACAGGAGTAGGGTTTGGATGTTTTACCATGTTTAGATTATTATTAAATAACTGTAAAGGCCCAATTTCTTGGATTTAACACTGAGTTATGATGCAATTACATTATCACTAGGAACATTTTTAAATCTCAGTTGCTTATATATACACACTTCAATTCAACAATCATTTAGGCACAAAATTATGACCAGAATACACAAGCGAGCATTCAGGAACCAAAACTCAAAGGCTAACAACCATCACTAAACAGCGAATATGAAGAGCCTCAAAAATTCTTAAATAGATTATGCTGGGATGACACTGTAGCCACGATGTTCTAATACGAAATGCAAGGTAGGGATTTGGATCAACTTCATGTATGCATTTTGCAATAGGAAAAGAAAAAAAAATTAAAGCGTTTTGTCTCAACGTTACTAAAATGTTGTTTCAACAAAATCAAAGTTTGAGATTCCATTTAACTGGAAATTCTGAATGTTCAATGTTCTATTGCAAGAATTTCATGTTGGAACAAATCTTGCTGCTTAACCTAACCAGAAAGGTAAAAAGCCAATGTCTTTACTTTTCTCTTTACCTTGGTGCTCAGAGTGGTGTGGACACCTTGGAAAAACCTGGATTACACAGGCCACGTACAGGTGTTTCGTTTCTACTGGGAGAATCACCACTCTGGGGCGTACAAGTCTAGTCAGGGCAGTAAAGCTCTCTTTAAATGCGTACAGGTTTCCCTTGCAAACTGTGGGTGTTAGGTTCTGGAAAGTTCCCATGGTTGGCAAAACTGTGGTTTGTAAAACTAAAGGCTTATGGGGAAGATGGGGTTAGGGACTTGAATACTGTACAGTTTAGCATATAAGAATCATTTTTATTTACCTTTATTAAAGGGTGTATTACATTTTTTACACATTTAAATATGCCCGGTCAACCAGGCATAGGCATACCCATAGGGGTACTTTAGACAGGTTATAGGGGGTATGTGCTGGCAGGAGGGAACCGAACACACCCAGGACACAGCAGCAGCATCTCCCCTGGTGCGTTCGCCTCTTACCTGGAAAAGGGAGGGGGAAGGGAATGGAAAGGAGAAGAAAGGAATGCGCCAACCAGCCCCGCATAACACCATGGCACTTCTCTGCCCCCACCTGTCTGAATGGCGGGGTGGTGGTGTTTTGTGTCCTCCTCTGGTGGCACACAATTGGTCGATCAGCAGCCTGCGGATGCGATCCTGGCCGGGCCAGGTCGTGGGACAATCTGAGCCCAACAGCAGTGGGAACCGCCCCACACACACCCCTGGACAAGCCACTGGGCTCGTACTGTACCATGACCAGCCTGGCCGGGGCACCATTCACCGTGAACGGGGCTCTGGCTGGGCCGGGTCGTGGGACAATCCAAATCCAGTGGCAACAGGAGCTGCCCACCAGCCTGCTGTTCCCTGCTGCCCTGCTTCCCTCCCCTGAAACTCAGTGTGGCAGGGAGCAGAGAAGCCACATGGGGATCTCCTCGCCTGCCACTGCTCACTTCACATTGCCCTGCTGACACACGTCCTGCACACGGGGCTGCACTGAGGGCAGTGACACAGGGCTGTGCCCCTCAAACCCGCAGCAGGCACAGGAGACGTGCCACCAGGGCAGCACAAGGCAAGCAGTGGCAAGCGAGGAGATCCCCGTGCAGCTTCTCTGTTCCCTGCTGCACTGGGTTACAGGGGAGGGAAGCAGGGAGGCAGGGAACAGTGACAAGCGGGCCTGCTGTTCCTTGTCACCACAGCTAGGGCAGATCCCCGCCATCACATGCACCTCTGGCAGGGCTGGGGGCAGAGGGGAGAGGAGTGGCAGGAACAGAGCCAGGCACACTGATGTGCAGCCATGGAAAACTGTGGTTATTCAAAACTGTATACTGTGGCGGCCAAAATGGTATATGGAGTATTACCCACAGATGCTCAAAACCATGCTTGGCAAAATCATGGTTGGTGGGAGAAACATGTACATTTAAGCTGGGTAAGCGGGAGCCAGGAGGAGAAAGAGGAGGAGGGAGTTCCCCCATCCCCAGCTGCGCATGCCTGTTAAAAGAGGCTCCCAGTAGCTGCCACTGGGGATGAAGGAGGGCTTCCCCATTCCCTGCTGAATAGGCTGGGCATCTCAACCTGCACTTTTAACTGTGGATGAGGGAGCTCCCTCAACCCCCAGTGCAGGCTGGAATGGTTGTATGCACCCTCTCCTGGAAAGATTTCTAGCACTGTAATTCACTTCTCCAGAATTCAGATTTGGCGGCTTGCACTGCATGTTGTGAGGAGGGAATTAAAGCAAATGCAGAACATTATGGGGTGGGTTCTTTTCCCTTGCTTACTCTAGAGTGAACAAGTACTTTATGCTTTGAATTTGTGCACAACACCAAAATGCCACAAAGAAAGGACTGGAAAGGATCTCAGGAGGTAATTTAGTCCATCTTCTGACTCAAGGCAGTTTCATCTCTTTCTAAAAGTTCCAGTCAAGCGGTGGACTCTAATGGTGCAAACAGATGCTGCCTTTCCTTGTCTCTGTGCCGTCATCAATATTTTTCTGGCAGGGCAAAGGTGAAGCAAAGACATCCATACCCCTTGCCAATGTCAAATGTTGGAAATTTGTGACCGTAACAAAGGTGGTAATAGATGATGCCACTATATAACAGCAGACAGCCAGAGCCAACCATGCTCCCCAACCACCCCAGGCAAGGTGCTCCAGGGGCTTGAGGCCCAACCCACTGCACCCCAGGCTTCTCAAGCAGGATCAGGCCCCTTATGCTTTGGAGTGCTTGCTAAGATGCACCCCTGGGACCTCTGCAAGTGAAGAAAACCCAGGGTTCCCACTTAAGGAGATGCTCCAGGGAGAGCCCAAGGGCTATATTTCCTTATGCAGGAAAAGCCCAAGGTTCCCTGCTTATGGAGACACATCCCTGGGAATCCTGGGTTTTACCCAAGTAAGCCACCACGAGATCCCAGGGGCACAAGAAAGGTAGGACCTAGGGAATTCTCAGTGCCTCAAGCCTCCATGCTGGGACAGGCCAGGGCAGATTCCAGTACAAAGACATGGGGCACTGGGAATTTCCCAGCTCATGCCTCACCCCAGGCATCTGAGTGATGCATGGATCAATGTAGGTCCCAGGACAGAGGGCCAGAACACCGAGAACTCCCTGGCCCCCACACCATGCCTGATCCACCTCAGTTTGATGGCATCTATTTCTACCCCAAGCTGTAGATGTCTTTCTTCAAGTGAAGTGCCTAAACCTGGGCACAAGATTTCAGGTGAGGCCTCACAAGTGCTAAATAGAGTAGAAGAACCATACTCCTTGATTTGAGGAACTACAGCCCTGTTAAATACACCCTATGTTATTGGCCTTTTTGCAACAAAAGCACACTACTGACTCAGTCAGCTTAAGGCCCATTATAAATACTAGGTCCTTTTCTGCAGTACTGCAACCTAGCCAGTAGTTACCCATCTTTATGGCTGTTTACAGATATAAAACAAAACAAGAGGCGCTTTAAACTTGGCACACCCCAGCACTGAGTGCAGCACATGCCCAAAAGAGGCAGCACATTAGTTTGACTTGGCTCACTCAACATTGACCCAACGTCTATATAGATTGGGCACTTCCGTGGGGCTTTTGCAGCACTTATTTAATAAATTATTGGATCAGCTTTAGAAAAAAAGGGCCAAAGAGCCCTGCTGATGTGCCCAACCTATATAAATGCTGTGGAGCCAGATAAAACTAATATGCTGCCTCTTCCAGTAAGGCACATTTTTCCCCCACGTCTGTCAGCATTCAATATGTGCATATACACTTGTTCCCTCCCAAGTGCACGTGTCCTTACTAAATTCCATTTTATTAATTACAGGCCATTTCTCAAGGATCAAAGTCATTCTGAATCCCAATCCTTAACCTCCTGAGTGTCTGCAGCTCTGCCCAGATTTGTTGAGTAGAGTAGCAAACAATATTTACTTGGCTTACTTATTTACTAAGTGTGCACCCAATCCCATGGTTCCATATCATTAATGGAGATATTGAACAATACCAGACCCAAGGTAAACCCCTGAGAAATCCAATTCAATGCCTCCTCCCAACTAAATGCTGAGCTACTGATGACCATAATAATTAACTAGTCATGTAGCTACCTTTCAGTTCTTTCCTTTACACTGTATTTTGCTAGCTTAATATATAGTTAGAATAATTATAAATATGCAGTTGTAATAATTGATTAATATTTGCTGTTCATCTTCTATTGAGGCATCCTTCCTTCTTACCTACATACCTATTTAATTAGCTTTTCATTATTAACTAAAGTGCTAGTGCTATCTGCTTAAGAACTGTTGTAGCTGAACACAGCAAATTTGATGGACTCAAACCCAAAAAGCAAGGAAAAAACCTGAAACAAAACTACACTGCCAGACTGCAACATTTCATTCCGCCATTTTTGGTATTACTTCCTCTCTATACTTGTCCCAGTCAGCTTATTTTTGCTTGTGTTTGCCATCTAACTTAGCTCATAAGCTTGCTCTTTGATACACAGCACCCAACTCTAACAGCAGCAAGTGTATCATGCAGCATATTAACTTACCCAGCGTTTCTCTCATATTCTTGTACAAGTTTATGGAATCTGTGTCCTTCATGAATTCTCGCACAACTTCCCCCTGATCATTTTCCACAACTAGCACTTCTTCTGGTTTTGCCATGCGGCTAACCATCAACAGCCGGACCTGCATTTACCAGAGAAATTTACACATATCAAAACTAAAGAGTTAATGTTTTCAAAATAAGTGTTTCTGAATAACACCTCTGTAGGATACTTGGCTCCGGTACACTTGCCACATTGCAGAGAATCACCCAACTGCATCAACTTGTTGACCTCCACAAGGCTATGGGCAGGCCATATTCCTTCAAGTCCCTAAGTAAGATTCCAAATAAAAGGGCAGGCAATACTGACTGGAAAACTACAAAGCATTAGGTGACAGCTCTCTACAAGGAAGACTCCAAAATGCTGAACACGCACACAACGTATTGGTTTAACAGGAAATCATCAGTAACCAGTGCAGATCAGTTACATTAATACTATCAGCACAGATCTTTTAAAACTGCTGCTTTATTGACAGACTTCTGCAAGTGTTATTCAAGCTACTCTCCACTCTGTGATCAAGTACTACTACTTCAGCTGAGCTGAGGAACACCACTCTGGGATGTCTGATGAAAGAACAAAAGAGGGAGACTACAACAAACCCTGGAAATAAATTTCCAGTCTTCCTTTCTTTCCATCCAGCAAATGACTGCATTTTGGTATGGACCGCCTTCAAAACAGAGCACCCCACACCAAACAAACACTATGTTAAAAAAACCCATAAAAACACCAACACGCTTCAGTATTAGTGAATCTGGCAAGCTTACATTAGGTTCTTCCCAACACAACAGAAGATTAAAATTCAACTTCTCCAACTGCTATATTAAAACATTATGCTGTAAGATATTTTGAATCAGATTTTTAAATATTATTTTCATTCTAATTTTTCCCCTGAACTTGTTGCATTTAATTTTTACTAGCATGTGAAAAGGTTTAAATGCACTGAACAGTAATGAGTGGCACTTACTATATATCCTAGAAATATTAGTGCCCAAAATATTTCACACACAGTCATGCTATGTATTAATGTCTGTAACTCTTGAAGCACTAAACAAAGTACAAGTTTTCATTATTTCAGTTTTAATAGGATATATGAAAACTCTTACAATGCATTGAGTTACCACAGATTTAACATTACCTTGGACAGCACAGGCAGGTAAAGCTGTCTCCTAGGAGGAACATCAAAGTGCTGACTTCCCGAAAGTAATGGAGAAGCAGATGTTGAAAAGGGGCTCTCCCTATAAAGTTCAGCAGCCAAATGATTCCAGTATTCAAGACAGATTTTGAAAATTTCAGTTTCTTCAACTTCTGACACAAGCAACATGTAGTGAAGAGCCTACAGAAATGATTTACACAAAATGGAATTAAGACTCATTTAATTATTTCCTAGAAATTAAGACCTTGGAAGTTAAGATTTAATACAATAATTTAGGAAACGGCTTTTTCCTACACCCTCACAGTAAGATTTAAAAACAAAAAGCAATTAACATGCTACAATACCACTTTTAAATTAGCAGCCTTAACCGGCAGCACCCTGCAACATCCACCAACTCTATAACCCCCATAGTACCTTGGCTGATTTTGCAAATTATGCTTCAAAAATAATATGTCATTATTTTGCATTTTTTGTTATTTTGCATAACATTCTGCTTTACAGTTTCCTGAGCTACCATGATGGTTCAGCAAGATAATCCTGGATCTGCCAACTGGAGACATTCACTGCAATTGTATACAAGAGCCCCAGTTATAAAGAATTCAGTTTCTTTTCCTATTTCACAGAAGGCAGACTGCTGAAATATAGAAGGTGAACATACCAATCATCTACATTCAGTTAAAAATGCCTACAAAAGGATTCCACAAGGGAAATAAAAATATGAAACATTTCCTTTGCTTATGGTGTTGTGTCAAACAACAGAGAGCACAAAATTAAGCCAATTGCTATTTTTATTTTCACACATACAGAATCATTAAGTAATCAACACAGAGATTAGACTACAAGTACATAGCTCCTACATTGTTTTCCTAACCTTCCCTACTAGCTGACAACCATACACCATGTCACCAGCCATAAGTAAATAAACAAACAAAAAACCTCAAAAAAAACGGGGTGTCAGTGAGACTTCTTTGATTATGAATTCCAGGCTATATACTAAAAAGTACTCCGATTTGTAATTGAACTGCATTCGAAATCTATTCTAAGTGTCCAAAAAAGATGCAACATTTTGAAACAGGTCTTACATTCATAATTAAGTTTTCCTTCTTTTTTAATCTGCAACACTGACCAAAGCAACTTTCACCCTCTATAGCTCCCACAAAGCAGAGCAAAAAATTTCATGCAGTAGTACCAGTACACTAGAGATAATGGAAAAACTAATTGTGCAGTTTTAGTACGTTCATCTCCACATAGTAAGTAAAGAACTCTTTCTTACACATCTAAACCAAATGAAGAACTTGCATTTGCTGTCAGACATTTCACAATGCTTAGACTGAGAACAGTAAATTCCTCATGACTAGAATTTACTATTCCAAGCACACCTCAAACTGAGCTCTTGCCTGTACTTAGACTACACTGAATCAAATTTAAGGACAATGTGGTACATCTACCATTAACTACCCTACACTATCACTGTGGCTTAAAGACACCTTTCGTGTTTCTTAAGATCATCTGGAATTTTAATTTCTCCTATTCTTAACCTGAGATGACTCTGTTTTCGGTTTTATTACATCACTCCTAGTGTTGTTTCACTTCAAAACAAAGTTAGGCAGCCACCAAAAAGATGGCAACAAACAGGAATTCATCACGTCAAAAACAATGACCTGTTATGGTCCGGGTTCTTAGCAACAGAAGAATTGCTCTATAATCTTTCTGTAGCAAAAAAACTAGTGAAATGAGAGTTGCTGACATGGAGTGCCACTAAATTCAGAAAAGTTATGGAGTGCTTTTACTGTGAAACAGCATAATTTCTCATAGTGTAAAGTGAACCAACACATTTTCTCTTTGAGTTGAAAACTAAGTGCCCTACCATTCATACCCATCCCATACATTTTCTTGCTGTTAAGAACACACTTTTGGTATATTTATATATGAACACAATGGGGTCTTAGTGCTGCAGTCTTCCAGCATCTTATTGACATAGGGTCACTACATAAAAGCCAATCTGCTGAAATCTAGACTTAGTGTCTACATCAAGATTTTCCTTCCCATATTTAAATGAATACTTTACACAAGGACATGTCATTTTCTAATACTTTCCACTAAAAGAATGCAGTATTTTCATCTTAATTTCAGACAACTGAAATGCTACATGATCTGAGATACTCAGCTAATAGGATATAAGTTATAACCATGGTTCCTGGTTTTCTGTTTTTAAAAAAAATCCCAGATTCAAAAAAAATTAAATCCAAAATTCTTTGATTAAAAAAAAAATAAAAATCCAAAAATGCATGTTTTTCTGCAATTAAAGTGAAACACCACTATATAGAGAGGTATCAGTTGAATGCAGTGTTTTACTGGTATGTTTACAATTTTAAAGCAATGTGGAAGCCTACCAATGTCTCAATCAATATAACAAAGTCTAACTACTTTTTTTTGGGGGGGGGGGATTGAAAAAAAAAAATCAGAGCTCCCCCCACCCTCTTTGCTCACCAGGACACTGGTCCAGCTGTGGCTACTACCCTGCTGCTTTGTGGTGCTGAGCAGCCCTGATATGCTGTTGCCCCTCACTCCCAACAGTCCCCCACCCTCCAGTGTGGGAACAGGGGATGTGTAGGTACAGGAAATGCATGGGGGGTGGAAAATATGTGCACACCCTATTTCTTCTCCTACACGGGGCATAGGGTTGCAGCCTGGCCAAACCAGCTCTGGGTAAGAGCCACCTCCGTGGCCCAGCAAATAGGACCTGGCACAGGACGGAGCACAGTGCCACCATGGCTGCCAACATGAGGCACAGCAGTGGCAGCAGCAGAGCTGTGCCCCCTGCTGCTGCTGGGCAGACAAGGAGGTTCCTGCCTAGAGCTGGTCCAGCCTGGCTGCAGCCCTGTACTCAGCTATGGGCATGCAACTCTCAGGGGGCACATGCCACCCCACCCAACAGACTTACCTGGAGAGAGCTGATCTCTACCACCACACTGCCTGGCTGCTGTATGCACATGTACACACACATGCACATGACACCCCTTCTTCCCAGCAGCCCCTTACATACTGGACTCTGCCAGCCTGCAAGGGGAAACCCATGCTTTCCTATGGTTTTCTCCTTTAAAGAAAAAAACCCAAGTTTTTCTGTGGCAAATGGAAAACCCAGGTCACTGGTTATAACATACTATGAAACCTTACCTCCATTAAGGTTTCCCTCAGATTTAACCTCTTTTCTATAAGTTGACCATGTTCCTTAAGAAACGTGCAGAGAAATAGACTGAGATTCTGAATGAAGTTCTGTTCGTCATCTTTTCCATTGGAGTATGCAAGCCGGATATTTGTATTTAAAGGAAGCATCTAATGGAACAGTGAAAAAGTACAAGTTTTAGAGTAAAATAATTAAAATTTCTGCACAGTTTGGACAGCTTCAGAAGTATTACTAATTTAGATGTAACCCTTCCCATTTGCAGCTCTCCAATTTCAATGTGTAAACCATAATAATTGTTCATGCAGAAAGACCACTAAGTTAGGGAATACGCAAGTATTTTTAAGAAGGCTTCTGGGGGGGCGGGGGGTTTCCCCCCTCCCCTACAAAGAGACAACATGTATTTCTGGCATTCCCTTTCAGCTACCCTACATATGCTTTCCTGCTCCTTCCCATAACCCAAAACTTGTTGTCTTAGACAAGGCAACCCCAGGTGCACAAATTCTTGTGGACAGAGAAATGTATGACTCTACTGTCTATAACACCTTAAACTAGTTTTTAAGTTTACCATGTTCCTTAAGAAACATGCAGAGAAACAGACTGAGATTCTGTTTTTTACAGTACCTTGGAGTAACTTAACTAGTTTTTAAGTTACTCAAAAGGCACTGTAAAAAAATGTAAGCCTCTCCATTTTGTCCTCCATTTAGCAATAGATGCATTAAAAGATGCAACACTGCCTAACTCTAGCCAATAACTATAATGGCACGTTGTTACACTTGTATGGAAGATTCTCCAGGAAGTATAAATCCATTATTCTTTTACATATTTGTACAATGCCTAGCCTGAGCTAGAGCTACTATATAGGTGACACCACAATACAAGCAAAAATTAGATACAATTCCAATGTGTTAACTTTAAAGATTAATATCAAGACTTCCATTTCAGAGAGTGCAGGGTGGATTTGATTTAAATCATGATTTAAATCACCGGCCAGGAACCCTCGATTTAATCATTGGTTTTTACAAAAAAAAAGAGGGCTGATCATGTCCATGCTCTCATCTCCACATACTGATGTTAACAGTATCTCTGGAGAGAAAAATTCACAGTTTAAGAAATGGAACTAAGCATCAGAGATGTTTAATGGAATCTTTTAGGATGAGCACTGAGTCCCATTGGATAGAGTGGTCTTCTTTAACCTTTACTAGTCTACAGAGGAGCCTCTGGGAACCCTGTAAGATTGGGTCCCTAATATAATCCATAGCCTGTTGTCACCTATTTATAAAACTTTTCTGAAAAGGTTACATTGATATATTTTGTCTCAAACAGTATAAAATTAGAAGTTATAATCCCTATTTCATGATGATATCTTTGAGCTTTAACATACCTTAATTTAAAAGCAATCTTTATATGTTTATTTTCTTTAAAGTAGCTCAACAAAAAATATGATTAAAAACAAAAAAACCCAAACTTCTTCGGAGGGGGGATTTTAACTGATGATTTATTCACCCCGAGTGTGGCAGTGAACCTAATTTATTTGCAAAAAAAAAAAAATCTGATGGTTCCAGAACCATTTTAGTTTTATAAACCTGAAACAAGTTTAGAAAACTGGAGCCTTGGGATAAGCAAAACATGTTCAAATTAAAGTGTTTTGGCCAAGTTCAGCCAAATTAAATGGCAATATGATACAGTGATAAAATGGGTGCAAGTTGCAAAAGTAGCCAAAATGCCCTATCTGGCATTCCCAAATTGGCTGCATAAAGCAGATGAAATTTACTTGACCAAGCAGTTTTAAAACTATTTAGAATTAATATTTCTAATACAAGGATGAAAGAGCAGATCACCAGTCAACTAAACAAAATAACTTCTAGAATACAGTGGAAAATAGAATTCTAAGCTCTCTGTCATACCTAAGTGGGTATAATTCTAATATTTTTAAAAACAAAGCTGTATCAGTGGTAGATGGGAGGGGTAGAAAGTAATGTTTTAAATAAACGTTAGCTCTGCAATTGAGGCATCTAAAAATATACATCCACTAGATGTTGCAAATTAAGAATGGAAAAAATATTAAAAAAAATACCACAATAATCATTTCAGACATCCATACAATGGAAGATTTCTGAAATCTTCCATATAGCATGAAAGTTGAAAAAAAATATATAGAAGAATAAAGGTTTCTCTTGCTCAGACAGTGAGGTGAACTTTGAGCACAAGTTTCTGACACCAGGATGTTCAATATACTACAGGTAGTCCGACTTACATTTTGGGTTGCAACGTTTTGCACTTAAAACGTTTATAAATTGGACACCGTTTCAACTTTATAACGTCAGTTTTGACCTAACAACACTCGATCCAATGCAACGCTACACCAGCAAACAAGTTCTCTGCATCATTCATCTCCCTGGAGAACATCTGTCCAAACTTCCTTGGACACTTTCTTTAAGAAAGCAAACAGGACTCCAGAAAAACCTGCAGCCAAGACTCCTGAGGAGACTCCTGCCCAGAACTCTTCAAAAAGTCCAACCTAGAGCCCTTCAAAAAGTCCAGCAGTCAGCTCAAAGAAGTCCTTCCAAATCAATACGATTGCTATTTACAATATAAATACATTGATGTAGCTATATTACTAGTCTATAATTGATCAAGTACAACATTCTGGGGTATTTTTGGTGAAAATAGGGTATCAGGCCTTGCTTCAGGAGCCAATCCCCCATTTATTACATTGTCTCTTATAAGAAAATTCAAGCACCAATCGTGTTGTAAGTCCGAGGACTGCCTGTACTTCAGCTCTGGGAGAGCAGCAATACCTAATCTGCATAAGATACATTTCAGAAGAACATACTACTTAATACGGAGCAACCGTCTGAGACAACAGGTGGATAGGTTTCCATCAACACATGAAGGAACTTGGAAAAAGAATCTGGTCTATAGTCACATCCAGTTTTTTTGTACATTAGATCCTACACTGCATACGAGGACTATTTTTGGAACTAATTTCAGGGGAAACACTAAACTTAAACTTAATGAAACTGGAAAAGGTTTCACAAAGCCTTAGATTGCCAGATGACAGTCACATCATCAGTAAAAAAAACTAAGACACTCCTCACCCAAGGAAACCAAGCCACCAGAAATCTATGGAACTTTCCCATTGCTTAGCCAATACTACTTGCAAACAAAAAACGTTTCACAACATTTGAGAATGAAATGCTAATGAAATTGCGGCTCTTTTGCCCTAGAACCTTAGTACTAAAAGAGACTGTGCCACAATATACTATATCAGAATGGTGCAATGAAAGCTACATACAGATATTACTCAAACTGGAAAATTCTGATAATACTGTCATGTTTCAGAAAAGTAACAATCAAAAGTTGTAAAGTTAAAAAAACTCACCCAAATAATACCTCAGTATGCAAGTGAATAGCCACAGAACTAAAATCTTGAAAGAAATTCTAATGCTGAAACAATGCACATCTTTAAAACAACCACACTGAGCCTTTAGAAGTCAACTAAACTGATTTCCTTCCCATGGATAAAATGAACCAAAGTGCAAGGTAACAGCAAGCCAGCTTGCCACCTTTAAGGCTAATAAGCCAGAAAGAACTAGACTTTTACTCATTTTCACCAACAACCACATTGAAGAATATAACTTAGAACGCTCGAGAAGCACTTGTAGTTGTACAAGTGCAGAAATGCATCATTCCAAAGAATGACTTAGTACAGACACATTGCTACAAAGTTCACAGGGGTGAGGCCAAATGTCATGTAGATCTTGTACATTTACCAAAGCCATGTTCTTGAACTTTATAGGCAGACCACCCAAGTAAGCAGATTTACTGGGTCACAGGCTGCTTGGAAAGCCTCCAATCAAGACCTTACATTTTACAGGTTAAAAAGGCAAAAACTTGCATGGTGATCACATCAATTCTGAGAAAACGATGCGATTACTCTACAATAACTATGAGATTCAAGAAATCTCTTCTTTAGAAGTAATTGCTAGTTACATACAAACATTAAAAACTGAAGTGATGGCTATTTTTGATGGCTTCTGATCTAATCACAAGCACTATTTTATGAACTCTAAATACAGCCTTTGTCTGATAGAAAGAACTAGCTCTATAACAAATATGTATTTGTAAGCTTAAGCTAGGCTTCCTCTAGAAGAGGGGCAGGCAGTTATTTCAGGTGGAGGGCCGCTTACCAAGTTTGGCAAGCCATCAAGGACTGCATGACAGGCAGCCAGGAGCAGATTAATATTAATTTTCTACATTGTTTAGGGGCCCTGCAAGCTGTATTTTGTCCAAACCTGCTCTAGAAAGATGCTTTCGCTACATATAATATAGTTAGAATTAAGTTCATTTTGTTTTATTAAAGCAAAAAGAAAAAGTTACCTGTTTTAACTGCATCATGGTCAGTGTAAAGAGAGTTACGAACTGCTCCTCATATTGGCTTACACTGACACCTGCAATCTCTGTGAGGCACTTCAAAGAGACATTTCGAAACATGGGAACATTTAAAAACTATAAAAAAAAGTTTTAAAGAAGGATTAGGGATAGCACGCAAACATTTATGTTGGGCATTTTATTTCTGGTACCCAAAGTTCTCATCTTACTTTCTAGTAGGCTTGTGTGAAGCAGCAAGTATTCAATTTGGCTGATTCAGAGGGGCAGTGATTTGATTTGGTAATTTGAATCACTGTCCTGATTCCATTTGGCCGATTCGGATTTGAGATTTGGCTGCCGAATTGGGCCAAATCTCCTCTGAATTGAACAGGCAGTGGTGAGTGGGGACAACCCCCCCAACCCCAGGTGCCTCCCCATGGCTGCCCCACCTGGCCCCAGTGTCCTGGCACATAAAAAAAACAAGAAAAGAAAAAGAAAAGAAAAGCCCTGCACTCACCAGCTGCAGCAATGGCAATAAGGCCTCTGGGGGCTTGTGGCAGAGCCTCCCTCCCCCACCACCTAGCACCCATGGGGCAGCTGTCACATCACACAAATGCAGTGAGGCTCTGGAGGGCACCATGGGGCTCCACACACTCTCCAGGAGCTAGGGACACTTGGGCTGAGCGCTGCCAGGCAGCTGCTGGAGCCACCCCAGCTGCAGGACAGTGCGTGGCATCCTGCCACACAGGTGCTAAGCAGGGGGGCCAATTCCTGCTGCCTCAGACTATATGGGGGCCTCTGCCACAAGCCCCCGATCACCACTGCTGCAGCAGCCAGTGAGCGCGGGGCTTTAAGTGCCAGGACACTGGGGCCAGGCAGGGGTCCCCCATGGTTTCCTCTCCCTTCCTCCAGCCCGCCCTGCCCCCTACTTACAGGTATGGAGCCTGGGTCCCGCTGCCTGTGGTGGCAAGCAGGGACCACGCAAATCTCTGAACCGATTTGGAGGCTTGATTCAATTTGGATTTGGAGATTCGGCCCCCAAATCAGGCCAAATTTCCTTCAAATCGAACAGGCTACCACAGCTTCACAGCCCTACTTTCTAATAGCAGTCACTTTTTAAAAGAGTGATTACCTTGTATATTAATGTGCTGATTAACTTGGTCTCAAATATGTATCCCAATGGAATCCAGTTAAGGAACCGTAATAAAGTCTCCAAAGTTGCATGAACAAGGGGAGCATTTTGAGAATTTTCCTGTAACAGAACCATATGCAAAGTAACACTGTCTTTAAAAGAAATAAAGATAATTAAGGTTTTCATGAAAAAGTTAGTAGCATTAGACTTACCATCACGAACTGACACAGCTGAAATATCTGTGAGAACTCATTGCACATACTAAAAAACAAACAAAAAACATATACATTAAATACTGATGTATCACCATATTAAGTGAATGACACATCCACTTCAAAGATGCATCAGCAATAATCCAGAGAAGTTGCCATGAAATTTATCAGATTAATAACCAATTTCTCACATGCAAATTCAGTTTACATATTACAGGGATACTGTACCCTCTACTCGCTGCTTTTTTAAAATGGCAATATTTAATGTACAAGCTTAAGAACATAAAAATACATTCAACTGCAGTGTATAAGCAGCCTTGAGAGAGGTGGTAAACATTCCATCTAATCTCAAAAGCAAATGCAGTATAAGTATGTATTTAATGGGAAAACTGTAGTTACATCAACTCTTCAACAGCAATAACTGAACTGTTAAGCTAACTTACATTACCAGGGAAAAAAAATTACAAAATGTTTTGCTTACCTATCTTTCAAATGCTTAGCTTTAACTTGAGTTATTTGTCCACTGGAGAAATCAAACACTTCTTCACTCAACAGTTTAAGGATCACCATATTGTTTTGGCAAAGACTCTCACTTGTTCTGCTTGCCCCTACAATATCACTTATAAATGTTGGCCAGTGTTTGGGCCATTCCTGTTTCAGAATCTGAAAATCAAAACAGTGTAGTAGGTATGGCTTTCTTCCTAAATAGCTGCTTGCACAAAATGAATTATTTTGGTCATATTGGTAATTTTTCTAAATTCTCATAAAAAATAAAAATAAAACTGAACTAGAACATACCTGAACAAGAATCATATTCAGTTTTCCAATATATACTTTCTCTTTCTGGAAGAAAGACAGGTAGAGTTAGGTTATCAGTAATGCTTCCCCACCCCTACCCCCACAGGAATTCACTTACTTCTACACATGTTGGATCAGATGAGGTCTTGATAATTAAGCCAACAACATACTTTTTTATTCCTGTAAAGAGGTAAAAATTATGTTTTCAACCCACCTGATATTGGATTACCTGGAAATACCTGATTCGAAGCATTAAGCAAAGGGTCTCCAAGGAATATGTATATGAAGCTTTAAAATAGTCCAATGCACATGTGTACAAATGAAAAATAAAGTCTCAAACATTCTGAACTCTCCAAAGTTTGTTAGTAACTTATAGTTGTTTTGATGTTTCAAGTAATGAAGTGTACCTAGATTTTAATTCTTGATATTACACCAAAGAAAATGGTAAATAAGTAGCAACTGGAATTGGAGTTTTTCATATTTTCAATGTATTTAGTGTTCTCTAACCCAAACCTATCTCTATGACTGATTGCACCTAAAAACTCTGCAACCTTCGAGAGCAACAGCCATAGAGACTACTGATAATTGAAATAAAACATACCCATGGTAGAAACTATGGAAACCCTTATTATACCACCACGTTTCAGGGATGGAGTCTGATGGTAGCAATTAAAACTGCCTTACATAGTAATTTGTAAACTCCCAAGTAAAGTATACTTTTATCCCTCAGACACCCCTTTTTAAAAAAAAGGGTGCACAACTATATTCCTATAGCTTCAGCAAAGCTGACATTAAAAACTGGAGATGCATAGTGTAGACAGGAGTCCTTTTTAACCACCTTCTTGATTAAACAGATATTTCAACAGGTTTGACTTAATATAGTGGTAAAAATGGGCTTATCTTTTTTTAAGGCTGCTATTAATTTTAACACTAGCTCAGCTCGAATGCTGGGAAAGTTTCTGTACATTTTTGCCCAGAAACTGAAGGTTCAAATATCATGCAGCACTCTCAACTAATCTTGTTTGCCCACATTAAAACACTCATTAAACTAGTGAAACAATGATAAAAAAAGATAACTAAATTATATTAAATCACTTCCAATACTGGTTTCCTTCGATTTGTGTGTTCATTCCCAGAGAATAGCACATAAACCAAATTTGCATAAAGCAAACCCACTTTACAATGTAACAAATAGGGATAGGTTCCCATGGCAGTGAGGGAGGGAGGCCGGAATTAGGGCAGGGGGAGGGGTGCTGCTCCTTGGGCTGCACAAGGCAGCAAAGCAGAGGGAACAGAGTGACACTCACCCCAGCCCCAGTTGCAGCAGCCCCGGGAGCAGCCGGCACCAGCAGCCTGCAGCCACTGGGCTGAGCCGTGCACCGCCTGTCCCCCCACACCTAGGCTCTGCTTGTCCACACTCACCTCTGCTCCTAAGCTGCGCCGTGCCCTTGTGTAGGTCACAGGTGCTGGCTGCTCCCAGGGCCACTCCAAAACAGGCTGAGGTGAGTGCAGACAAGCAGAGGCTCACGCAGCATGAGGCATGGCATTCACTCTAGCCTGTGCTGGAGCGGCCCTGGGAGCAGTGGTGAGTACGGACAAGCGGAGCACAGGCACGTGGGGACAAACAAGCATGGTGCAGCCCAGCAGCTGCTGCAGCTGGCACTGGGGTGAATGGGACCATGGCGCTTTCCCCTCCCTGCACAAGCTTACCTACTTTTTGTTGTTGTTGTTTTTTTGGTTTGTTTTTTTTTGGGGGGGGGGGGGGGGGAAGGGGAAGAGAAAGAGAAGGAAATTTATGCTGATCACATAAGAGCAAAATTTACCTTGCATATAATGAATTATGGGTCTAAATATGCTCATCACACAAGAGCAAATTCACAAATAAAGAACCTGCATTAATCAAGGGAAACCTGTATATAATATTCCTGGGGCAAGATTTAAGAATGCAGTATTTTGTTTAAAATCTGCAAAGGAAGGAAGGAGTACAAGGATTTGGTCAAAAACACTCATTTTCAATTTTGTCATAAAAAGTACTCAAAAGTAGTAACAAAACCATGATAGCCATGGCAGATATCACAGGGCAAGTTTGCAAATAAGTTGTGATAATGAACCTAGCCTACTCTTCCCCTCCATATAGAGCTATCCAACTTCAAGGGAAGTTCCACATGCAGAGGGCATGGTACTTAACTGTTAACATTATTAATGCTCCAGTTTTTTGCAATAGATTAACAAACATTTATCAGGGATTAGCATCAGAGGGAGGTTCTAGCTGTGCCAGTCCAGGAAATAAATGAGGCAAGGATTTCTATAAGTGGTATCACCTGAAGAAAATATGCCCTACATTTGAAAGCTTGTCTAAATCTATGCTAACAATGAAGCTGGCCCAAAAGAAGATAAATTGCCCATAAAAATCCTTGCCTCTCACCAGAGGTTAGAAACTTAAAAATGCATAAGAAATTGCTTGTAGCAGGGCTCTGCTGGGGAGGGAAACCCCCCCAAAAACCCTCAGAATATACTGAGTATTTTAAAAAACAAGCCATTGTAATTTAACTCAAAACTCCCTAACATTTGAATGCACCACACTATGAAATAAAAACAATGCACACATTTTTGCTATTTAACATTTCATATAAGACAGCATATAAATTCAAGTTTCTTTCCAACCACCAGAAAAATTCATTTTACAAAATCTAGAAAGTTGGTTATAGCAAGAAGATTAACATTTCAGCTTGACCATGAAAGCTGCTAGGTATGGCATTAAAAAACACGGGACACACATACACTCCGATTCTAACCCCCCTATGAAACATGAGTAAGCATTTTTAGTAATGGGAATAACAGTCTCAGATATCAGCCTCTCAGGTGGTCAAAATTCTACTGATACAATAACATTTCAATCACCAAATATACAAGCTATTTTGTACTTGGCGCACTAACGCACCTTCAACCCTCAAGACCATTTGTAAGAGTGAGAGGACAGAATTAACCCTCCATGCCCTTTCAATTCAAGTCTGCTAAAAAGGGAGCTCAACAGTCTGTGCTGCAGACAACAGTGAACCATGAATTTAAAAGGGTCACCACCTTTTTTTCCCCCCCACAAACACTACATGGCCAATCATAACTGCTGTTTACAGACCTCCATCTAGTGACCTAGAAGTCACATTTCTTTATGCTTGACAGGAGTAAGTTTTTCCAGTTTCCCAAAGCTTTATTTGGGGTGGAAATATACATTCCTTCTACAGCTATTAGAATAATAGCTTAATGTTAATTTTTAAAGAGCATTATGTAATTCCCACTCCACACTTCAACAAGGTAAGTCCTGGAGTATATTTCTAATTAAAAGGATATACAGCTGTTCCACCTTTAGCCTTTTATAAAGTTTACAAAGTTTACACTGTACAACAACAGCCACTGGAGTAACTCAAGGAAACTGCAAAGTCACTCTATGACAAGTTCGAACCTGCTTAATTGACTGCATTCTCCAGGGCTCCAAAAGAAACACTTGCAAAGCTTCTTAATGCTCTGAAGACATTAAAAGTTGTTTAGCCTTTTTCCTCCAGAATGAGGCAAGAGTAGGATGCCAACAAAGGGCTGAAGGGCACAGCATGCCTTTTAATCAACATGTTGGTTAGCATTGGCCTTGGATACCAACCCCAGCATTATCTGAAGGCACTGGTTCATTCATTTGCTCCCTCAAAGGCCAAATGTAAAAACTTCTAGACTTAGAAGACATTTCTTTCTTTTCTTCTACAGTGCTGGGTTTTATCCACAGTCCACAGATGCCCCTCATCAGGAAAGCTTAAACTATATCCTGCCAGGAGCGGAGGTTAATAGAGAGTAAGGAAACACTAACAGGGATGAAATCAACAGTTTGAGGTTTGCTTGTTTTAACCCAAGGCCTTCAAAGACACTTAAATAGACTTCTATTACTCCATCTAAATACCAGTTGTCCAGCCATGTAAGAGCCAAAAGTGGCATTTACACACAGTTTATTATCTGTGCAGTAAGCTGTACATTGGCTGGATAGGTATGTGGTTATGTATGCTGGGCTTATACAAGTTATAAAATTGTACCTGGGGGAAAAAAAACTGAGTGAGTAGATGGGTCAGTGAGATAATGCTGCTCTGGAAGGTTGCAGGCTTTGGGTTCTAGCCAGATCCTTGCCTCCAATGAAGCAGAAACTTTACCACCACCACCTTCTGCACTACTCATGCAATGAATACTAAATACAAGGTGCAGTGGCTCAGCTTAAACGCCATCATCTAGGGCAACTTTTAGACTGCTCCACCCTGGAGAGGTAAGCATTCTGGAAGAAAAGCTGTTTGAGGGGTGACCCAGACTAAACAACCAGCAAAATGGCAAAACTTGTGGCAGGGACAAAGCACTACTCAATTTTCCTGAATTCTGTAGTCATCTTTAACTAAATTAAGAGAGGGAAGAGTTTTTCAAGACTTTTGCATTTGTGCACTGCTTTTTCAAAAAAAAGCACATTTCAGGCTGTAAGACAATTAAGATAAGTACCATATCTGTGGCTCTGAACTACAATGCTTGCTGAACCTCTACCTCCATGAGGGGAAACTTAAGAAAGCGCAGGCAGATCCTCAGGTAAGATACAGGGCAGGGCAGGGACAGAGCCCCCGCTCTCATGGGGAGTCGGCTCTCACTGCTGTTTTCTGCTTGTTCAGGAGCCACTGGTCCAGCACTTGCTCAGTGGCTACCGCTGCTTGTCTGGGAGGGGGGCAGGGCCTGTGATCTGGGGGGCAGGAAGAACCCTGTGCAGCCCTGGCCCCAGCCCCTTTCCCCCAACCACGCCCACCCGGACAAGCACCAGATCAGCAGCTCCCAGGCGAGCAGCACACAGCAGTGGGAGACCTCTCCCCCCTCCCAACACCCTCCGGACGAGCTGCAACTCCACCCCACGCCCACCCCACCAGGCAGCACTGGCCTCAATCCCTACCCCAGCCCCACTCCTCCCTCACCATGGGGGCCTTGATCTTCCTCCCACCCCTTCCCTCCCCTTCTACCACACAAGACTTACCAGCTGCACACAGCTCTCCAAGCTGCTGGGCTGTGCTACTCACTGCCTAGGTGCTGCACTGTGGCTAAGCACACAAGCATTTATCAGCCAATTATCAGCCACATCAGGCCGATTTCAGCTACAATCAACTCTCTTTATATTG